CATAGTAGACGTGATGTTAAACCATACAGACTAATGGGCAAATCTCAACTTAATGGAATTCGATCGAAACTATAAAAAACCCAGACAAACATAACATCGATGACCTGGTGATCGATTAATTGTTCATCGTTTCTTTTATGATTTATGAGGTTTAAGTAATAAGAATTTGTTTTCGTTACTTAATGATAGTGTTTGAAAGTGTAGGGGAAATAAGGAAGTATTATAATGTTTGTATGGACTATGGGGAAGAGTTAGAAGTATAGTTTAATAAAAACCGAACGAACAGTTTACAGAAGATATGAACAATGCTATTTATTTCTAACTTTAATTTCCATTAGAGTTCTCGTTTTTTGCTGTTCTCTGGACAAGACGTCAAATCAAAGGATGTAATGTTTATTGTGTTAAGATTGAAACAAACGAGTAAAATGTTGGCATTTGTCTTTATGTAGCATGATACAACAATACGATCTCTGCTATTAACTAAGTGAAGCGGAAATATGCTGACTGTTGTTTCTGTCTAATGTGAGATGAAAGTCTCTTCTACAACTTCGAAATATAAAATATTTTCATTGCTTAGAACACTGTATGAGAGTAAAGAGAACCTTCTTGTGGCTTTCAGTTTTATTTTTCTCTTAAAATATTAATTATTGTCCAGTCTTTAAATGCATAATCAGTAGGTGACTTCTTATGGTTGGTCTAGCTGTAACTCCCTAAAGATATACTTAGAATTTCTAGGTAGTTTATTCTATAAATATTGCATTTCATAGAAATTATTATTTTACAATGAAACATTATTCAATATATAATGAAAAATATAAATGGGAGATAAAACAGAGCTAGTCAACAAGAAATGACTTCGTTTATTTTTAAATATCACGGTCATGAATTTTAGTAACATTTCCACTTTTAGTACAACACTTTATTGAGAGTTACTGAATTAAAGCCGCCAAGGTTTCTAAAACTTTGTTTGTTTATTTGTTGGGATATTTTGCGATGATATCTTCTAGTACAGATGATTTAGGATAATAAGAATTACATTGTCAGTATCTAATTTCTATTATCATGCAACTTTGTACTTCTTTACAGATAAATCAAAAACCAAAGAACAGTGTTATTTTGAGGCTATACGATAATTTAGCACCATACTGTGGGATAGTCTTTAGTTATATAACATCAAGTCATCATAAAATAATCATTTCTAAGTAATAATAATAATAATAATATGTAACAGAAATACATAAGAATCGAACATACAGGCGCAGGTTGTTTAAACCATGCATCAAGGAAATCGCGAAGTTGTTGTGCTATTGTGTCGAATTGACTTTTATACTCATCCAAGTCCCTATCAAACTGATAAAAATTCAGAAAAATTAAAATTAAACATTGTGTGTTATTATCATTTAATTTTACAACTAAACTAGAAAACTGATTCACATTTTGTAATAACTCATAAAGTGTTTCAACAGTATCACATATGGATTTAACTAGAATAGAACATAAAAAATATATTTATTGATAAACTAACGGTACAAAACCAACTGAACAACAGTCTTTACTATGTTATTCACAAGATAATGAACTCAGAAGTAACACTGAATTGAAGAAGGATTATGTAGAGAGTTATGCTTGCAGATAGATGGCTATATACATTTTTTGGCTTTTTCCAGCAATTGTAAAATGCTACGAAATTACGTAATTTCAGTAATTAACTATCACCATAACATGACTGTAGTAGAACAAAATGAGCCATTAACATCTTTCGTTAAGAGTATTCTTAATTAGTATCAGAAGGGGTTTTGTGGAGATTGTAGTAATTTCAACAGTTGAGGTCATGAGTCAATCGAGGCTAGACCACCATGGAAAACCTGGAAACAATGGACAGCCGCGAGGCGGGGTCGTGGATGCGCACTGCTGAGGAGTCCCACAATAGGACAAAACGGCCGTCCAATGCTTCCAGGTTTTCAATGGTGGTCTAGTTTCAATTGACTCATGATCTCAACTGTTGATATCCTTAATTAAACTTATGTACAGAATAATATTTCAGTCAATCACAGATACAGAAATAATTACGTAAACGACTTAGTTTATACGCTTTTAATAGTTCTATCGTGTTAACAAAAAAATTGTTTTTCTTTCTATCAAGAATTTTGCATGTCTTTCAGAATTGTATTCATAAGTCCTAAGTAATGAGAAAATTGATCATGATATTCATAATTTTGTAAATATAAACAAAAGACGAATCATATTCCATGTAAGATTGACCAGTCAATTTCTATTTTACTTACATCACGTTTAATTTGATCAGCTCCATCGAAATTTCTTTTATGTAAATTATCATAAAATGTTTTATATCGTACAACAATTGGATCAATTCCTTCAGCTTTAAAATCCAATAATACATTGAAATTATCTATATTTTCTAGAATTATTAAAATTTTCTTTAATCTTGATGTGTACACATCAAATTTGCCAAATATATAATTTTCACTAGATAAAATAAAGAATTTCAATAATCAGTATTTATGCAAGAAAAAACTGTGTCAAGCAGAAAAACTTTTCTTAAGGTAACAATAATCGAAACAAAGTGTTTTCGCTGATTATCTACACTTTACTCCAGTAGAATTTGATATAGTTTTCATCATTAGTCAATATTTAAGGAAGAGTGTTGTTCGATTTTGTGAATTAGTTGAAGTTGGACATTAACACCGTTGGATGCCGGCTTAGTAGTCTAGAAGTTAAGAGTTCGCGTGCCAGACTGTTAGATCCTGGGTTCGATATCTTGCGAGGCGGGATGATAGCTGTGCACTGATGAGGAGTCTCATACTTGGATGAGACGGCCATTTAGTGCTTCCAGGTTTTCCGTGGTGGTCTAGCTTCAATTGACTTATGATCTCAACTATTGAAATTACTATTATATCCACAAAAACATCTGGTTTGAGGAACAGCTGTGGAATTTGGACGATAATGGAATATTGTTTCGAGTAATTCAAATATCATTCAGAATAAACTATGCGTGACATTTATTATGATAAGATATTTGAGGTTTAACTTCTTTGGAATTCGTGGTTTATCTCGTTTTATTTCGAATTTTCAAATAAATTCGACAAGTGATATGGTACAGTTTGTCAACCTAAGTGTTTCTATAGTTACATTTCATTAGACGTGCTTTGAAATATTAAAAAGTAATTGACCTAAGCAGTTAGAAATTTTCAAAGTCATCTTTCATAAAACAAACAGTTTATTAATGTAAACCCTAATTCTTCCTGTTTATGACAAAACACTGATATTTCTACATCTACTACCAGATAAAAATAATTTCATCATCTAGCGATCCAGATTATAGGAGTTGAATCTTGTTATGCATTCGGTAGTTGACTGGGAGGGCAGTATGTTGATCTCTAATTTTAATCCGGTCATAAATGAGGGTTTATTTAAAATTCAGTCAAATGTTCAGTGTCAAGAATTGAGTATGATGTTAGTCTGTTAGGAGCAGTCGCCAAAATGCAATGAGACTGAGATTTTTGCTGGTTGTCACTCATAAGCAAGACATGTCTAAAGTCCCCAGGTAATCAATGATTTCTAATATATTCGAATAAACTTTCATCCAGTGTTACGGCCAGTTGCATTATTACTGGTTTATTAAAAACGATGGACATAAATCTGAATAAGTTTAGCATTATAAAGTAGAAATGATGTATTCCGTTTATGGTTTCTTAGATTATTTTCCAATCTGGTCCCATTTAGTTTACCTTCTTGAAGGCTATTATGTTGTTAAATAAATAAACGTAATTGAAACGAAAATCAAATGGATTCTTTCCAGAATTCTAATTTCAAAGCTCTCACTTTGTTTGCCTAAGAAACTTTTATTAGTGCATAGAATTCAAAGTGAGGAACATATTCAAAGGTATTGAAAACTATAAAATTTCCTATAATAAATTGTGTAGTCTAATACAGTACTATTTAAACACTAAAACTTATTGCCAACTTCCTCCACTCACCTGGAATCGAAAATAAAATACACTACAATCATGGGTCAGTAGTGGTAGCGTTGTTACTTGACTAACAGAATGCGATTAGCAATAGACTAATCAATAGTTGGCATGAGTAGACTACCAAAATATGTACTAACTATATCAAGGAGTTGCTAATAAACAGTATTTATTTTTTCAGATAATGACCCATTGTGAGAGTTCTATTTGTACATAAGACTATATGATAATATCTTATGTAATTTTACAAAAATATCACTCTAGCTACGTTTGTCATTTGTAAAATAATGAAAATTTGGAATAACTACTGATAAGGTTTCGATCTTTGCTAATATATGAAATTCACTTGTATAGATATATTCAAACGTCTTTTAGTATACAGATGTCAGTCCTACTGGTCTACATTTTAGTACTGGTGAAGTATAATTAAAGAAAATAGAATGTTCTTAATACAGAAATATTTCACGAACATCTGGTCTATTCTCGATTCTGTATTTAAGCATTTTTGACTTATATTGTGCAATGTTCATGAGACCCATTTGTTTATTCTATATGTATATAAATATTAAGCTTTTCAATTAATCATTACTAAATTTGAGGAAATGAGAACAGTTCATATTCATTCATTCAGATAATTAATCTTATTGAGTCATTAAAATGTATAACAGAAATAATAGAAACATCATTATTAACTTCAAACTCTTCAAGATATTTTGTATTGCTGTCAATATAACTAATTACCTGAAATCGAATTGTCTACCGGATGGATTTTCTTGAAGTCTGTGTCGAACTTTACGGAAATTCTCTTGATATTCAACATTCAATTGAATACATTCATTGATTCGATCAAGTAAAATATTTCTAGAAATGAATATTAAAAATACAGAAATAGATTCTGATCTAAAATTAAATCAAATATTTACATAAATATTTAATGTTAAATAGTTGTAATAAATTTTGGTTGTACCGAGAATGATCTGTTGAATAGCAGTGAAACTGATATTATTAAACATGATGTTTGAAAAAGAAGTCTTGTTGTTAAACAAGAATTTCCATGGAGTCCGGTATTTTTTTGAACAGGTTGTGTCTTCTTTCTACTTTGTAAGGTTCAATGAAACATGGAGCTAAAAATTCTGCTTCATCTTTATGGTAAATAGTTAATGTTATATCCTAGCGAAGATTAAATTACCAGTAACTTCTGAGATCTATTAATGGACTAATATTATATAAATATATTGTTATGGTATAACGGTTCAGTAACTAGATTATGTATATCCATATTTCTCTTATTATAAGCTTCATTTTGACTTATAGATTATTATTGTACGATTTACTGTACTTAAGTTATTTTCAGTTTATTAACTACCGTCTCCCACGTTCACAGCTACGTTTTAGCCTGATCTTGTATAAATGTTATTTCTTATTTTATGGTGTGATGCGGTCTGTTTGGCTGGTATATAAACCAAGTATGTTTGAAACAAATGATTTGCATAGCGGAAGCTGTTATCGGTGTTCTGGACTCAAGTGGACGGGCTAGGCGAACAAGGCTCAATAAGGACTCTAGGCTGCTCATACCGGTCGAACGTCATTGGTTTAGTAACGTATGAGAGCAAATAGGTCGTATTTCGATTGACGAGTAAGTTAAATGATAACCTAAAATCTTAAAGACTAAAAGTCACAACATTCAAGTTGTTATGTAAGAACCTTTTAAGTAACTCACTGAAGACAAGGTGATATGAGACTGACTTTAGACAAATGTAGTTGCAAGTTGTTGCAAGTCTAGATACGGAAAAAATGGTAGACAATATCCTTAAGCTAGTGGTTAAGAACTGCTTGTACTTTAAAAATCATAAATGGATATGAAATTCAACAGTTATATGATAGTCTTAATGGACAAGTATCTTCATTCTGAATGAATGAATGAAATGTTCATATAATAAACGTAAAGAGATCTTTGGGATTGTAGTCATTCGAAAGAAGCTGTTTTTGAATATTTAACTTTTGTGAGATAGCTGAACGTAATCATACATACTAGCATTGCAAACTATCCTAATGATAGTTTGTGGTAGTTACGATCCTATTATTTGATTATAAACGGAATACCTCATAAGTTTAAAATATTCTTAAAGGATTTTAACTTTAAATACAAATGACTGTTGGTATCCACGTTGGATGCACAAAGCTGTGACTCTGAACACTGGATATTATGGACATAGATAGAAAAAAACTATTTATGTTTAACTTGATGAATTTTTATTTCATACCAAAGGACTCACCGAATGAGATCAAGAATGTGAATAATACAGCTATGTCAGACACTACAAATGTGTTGAATTTTCACTAAACCGTTTATTTTCTGGTTATGAGGATCCCTATACCAAACCATGACTTATTTATTATGTATACAGAATTACCTAAATATAGTCTTCTTTCCATTCCATGCTTGCTTATTTAAACTTTAAAATTAAATCTGTCGGATGTCTTTAAAGTTCCATTGTATGTTACAAATAATAAACTGTAAGACGAGAAGGCAAACATGTATCAACTTAAAGTAAAATCGATCGCAAATGAAACAATAAATCTTGAGGATCTTCCTAAATAATCGATTGAAATAGCAAATGCACATATACACATACCGTGGTAAATCCCATATTCGACTAACACCATCTGTTACATACTTTCTACATGCAACAACCATTTGATTTGTTATTTTAATAAATAATGAAGTCATTCTTTCTGAATTATTATAATATTCAGAGATACTGTAAATCATACGAATAGCATTAAGTAGAACTGGTAATTGTTGACGTATTTTAGACTGAAAGTTGAAAAAAGGTTCAAATAAGTTTTTCACTCCATAAAAAATTAAGATTTCAATTTATTCTAATTTAGGTCAAAGATAAACATAATTTTGATCAGTAATTAAGAAAATTAATTTAATAATTGAATTCATAGGTCAATTGAAGCTAGACCAACGTGGAAAACCTGGAAGCACTGGACGGCCGTTTCATGCTAGTATGGGACTCCTTAGCAGTGCTCATCCACGACCCCGCCAAGCGAGTTTCAAACCTAGGGTCTATCAATTTTGCACGCGAACGTCTAACCTCTAAACCGGTGCTTCCAGGTTTTCCATGGTGGTCTAGCTTCAATTCACTCATGAATTCAATTATTAAATTACCGAAATCTCCACAAAACCCCTGTCTGATTATAAGAAAATTAAATTTGTTTAGAGCTAATGTTGTCACTTGTATTCTCTATAATTGTTATTATTACTGTTAATAATATGTTTATTATTATTCCGATACTCATTTAACGAATACATATTGAGTACCTGTAGAAGATTATGCAATTAAAAAGAATAAAACAATCTCCCTTAATTCTTGCTACTTTGACCACACCGCACAAATTCGATATAGTATTTTATAGTATATAGGCTATTCAATATTTATGATTATATTGGCTATTGCCATATGTTCTACAAAACAAACCTTTTAATGTGCTGTCATAGACTATTACTTCTATTTCGTGGTGCTCAGTAAACTTCTAAGATATAAACAAGTTGATTTTTCACAAAAACCCATATTACTTAGTCATTTCTCCACTTGATAATCTGCACTAAGACGAAAATAGTTGCATCTTTCTTTACATCCACCCATTTTGTTTAACAGTCGAATAAGCGTAGAAAGAGATTCGGACAATCTTACATATAGTTATCTTGGCATAAATAGCATTTTGTAAACTGTTTACAGGAAAATTTAGCGTGTATGACAATATCGATATTCATCCTTTAAAAGATCGGTTAATTCAGCAGAGGTGATGGTAGCAAGCAGTGCAATCCATGACGAGTGCTTCGTCCTATTTGAGACTCGTCAGCTGGGTCTAAGTACATCCCACAGTTGATGTTCACTCCAGGACTGATCAAACGCAGTCCTGGACATCAACTAATACACAAATGAGATTGAGAATTTAAGTAGTTTGATTACTATTCAAGGTAGCATGGTAACAATTTTGTAAATTCCTCACATCTACTGAAATTATAATCGATTTATATTTTGGAAGTTAAAAGATAAAGATTTGGAAAGAGTGACGTAACTTCTACTGAGTTCAATTTTGCTTCATTTTCATTTTTTTTACATAAATATAGTTTGTCAACTTATGCGGCCCTATCAGCAGTCGTTAGATTACTCAACATATAATACTTATTATTCGCCAAAGTTTATATTATGATTGGAATTGGTTTAGTTGGCTGGAGGTAGTCAACACGAAAATTCTGAAACAACGTTACGCTTTAGTAGGCATACCTAGAATCATTCGGGAACTGATACTCCATATGTGATTCAAATCCAGTACTAGTGGCAACACTGTAAATAGATCGATAAAATTCGACTATCGCCTAAAGAACTAGAGAAATACGACATTTGTCACTATTAAGTGATCAATCGATTATAACCTAGTTAAATTTATTTCTGTTATTACATTCACTGATTAAAAATTAGTGATGTGATTTCTATGTATTTAAGATTATATGATCTTGTCATCAACTAATAAATGATCATTGTGGGGCTATATCACTATGATTTCGCAAACGAAAACTACTGCTTATCGACTGATATATGGTAGCATGAATAAAATGTCTGTAATTTATCAGAAGTCAAACAATACCTGTCAATAAATCTAAGTTTAAATGTTGTAAATTGTTATAATGATAACTATAACATCATTTAAATTAAAAATAAATGAAAAAGGATTTGAGATTTATTCTGACGCTTACTGGATTTGTATTAGAAAATGAACCGAAAAAGTTATCCAGTGTAAACAGATACTTAAGATTATCTTTTGCTTCATTAACTCCATTAATGATGCGATCGTCCTAACATTAAAAAATCAGCAATAAAGAGGGAATAAGAATAGATTGAACGTGAGTAAAGCAAGTGAATATAGAAAAGTAAATGAGAAAAAAACTGTCATTCACGTAATCGCTCATTTAAACTGGTTAATAAATTGTTAAAAATAGCAAGGTTCATTTGTCTAATCTGAAAACACATTAGCGCTGTGCTATATGATCACCATACTTCATTTAAACACACTAACTTTCCAAATCATCTCTTCAAAGTATCTAGCCTTGGTAACCTTGGTTACTCTACGGTGATTCACTGGTGCAGTAAATTTAATTCTGTGGAATATCGGTCACAACTTTATCAGGTCTATGCACGATGCTTTCAAATGTGCTAGAGAAGCAGAAATTCCCAATAATTACTTAAATGTAATTTTTCTCAACGGCTTCCTTTCACTTAAAAATCGGCCGACATTTATATTGCTTTAAAGTTAGCATAATGAATATTGTGTTACTCGGATAATTTACACAAGAATGAATAATGGAAGTTAACAGTCAGTTGCGTTTAGTGTCAGCACTTCTCTTTTACTAAAACTGTTTGGAAATGAATTTATGAAATAGTTATATCCGGTGACAGATGAATTGTACATGAAACATTTCTTTTCATAAACTTACCAGTTGACGCCACTGTTTGATTACACGTGCTTTTGCATAGTGCAAAGTAGAAATAATTGCTTGAATACTTGGATTACGCATTTCTTCAATTAAGCTAAATACACAAATGAACAGTAGTGGTATAATAAGTAATTACCGAAAAAATCATTACTAGTTTTATTTGATCAAATATGATTTACTTCGTGACATTACAAGATTCCTATTTACAACATGAAACGATTAACAGAAGTTGCTCAATATCTGTTCTACAAATATTCAAGTTATAAAAATCTTAAGCTGCATCAAGGATCAATTTGATACTTTCAGAGCTCTTGAAAATCACTCACTTTAAGACCTATTAACGAGATTAGGTGGTTATTATTTTCATGTACAAATTGACTTATTCTGTGATATGAATGTTAAAACTAATTTATTAGAGGTCGTCTGAAAAATTTCTCGTGAAGAAATGTTGCTGAAAATGTCTCATTTCGGAGGATATACTGGATTTCTCGTGGTTTAAAGATACTTCCTAACTGTTAGTTTACGTTAAGTAATTGAATATTGATCTGTTCAAAGTAGGCATTAAAAATTACTTTTCCGTTTTGTCTATAGACTACAGCTCCACTACAGACGTCATGTTTAAGATATTTCTTCGTTACTATATGACTGTTAACTAGGCTTGAATGTTAAATATCACTCTCTATATCGCCTATTAACTAAGGGTTTAGAAAATATTCCTGAGTACTGGACAAATGATTTTCAGAGTAAGAAATGAAAGTAAAACTACCCAAAAAATTCACCATATTATCCGAGTGCAAATGATCTGTTCTGGACTAAATATTTTTGTGTTAGAAGAAGGAGAGACGAAGACAACAACTATGGAGATGCTGGTTATCCTTGGGAAAAGCATCAGAGCCAGGAAACTCCCGTACATCTGCTGCCTTTGATTTTACTTCTTCCCAGTCAAAATATCTGAAGAGGTAGGATAACATTCTCTAGCCTTTGTGATACAGTTGTGTTTGTCAAATTTAACCAACATATCAAGGTAGTAACTATGAAATTATCCGTTTTCAACAACTGATAGATGAACCACTTTATTATTGGCTATTTTAATTAAATAATGTTACACGATTAGTAAGTTATTATTCAAACAAGTTTTATTTATAAAAGATAAATTATCTTATTGTTTGACCTCGTCTATATGAACAAGCTTCTATTATATTCTTAGTTAATTAAAACAAATTGAGTCAAATATGAAACTTGACAGAATAAAGAAGACAATCTCAAAAGAAGGCTAAGCGAATATTAAATGAGGACATCTTTTATTATTAAATAGTATACTGAATTTGAAAGATATTTAGCATTTATCTTTTAAGGTCGTAATTTGTTAATTGTCTGTTGTAGTATTAATTCAATAAATATTAAATAACTGCAATGAGTTAAGTAATATCTAATTGAACTAATGGAGTTAATCTAAACTGATAGACAGGAATCTATACACAAGAATGATGACTTAAATCGTATAATGACAAGATTCAATAAAAACGTGATAGAAATTTTGCATCGAGTTATATTGTAAGAGAATAATTCCCATCATTTGTGAATTTATTCCTGTTGAGTGTAATAACTACCTTTCATTGTAGTTAGTTAAAAGAAATTTTATCATTGAAGTTTTCATTTCTTCAGATTTACAAATTATTGGTCGAAGACAAAACTGAATGGATAACATGAAAATTAGTATAAATTGAGGTTATGATAGAAATTGACGACACAAAATTCATGGAGTCAATCAAAATCTCTTTAAATTAGTCAACTTTTTCCCAATATTCAGTAATTATGTGAACTAAAGGCCTAAAATAATCTCGAAATATAGTTGAAGCCACTGTAGACTAAAGATAATCAGATAGATAGAGATGAAAATAAATTGCTAATGTTAAACAGTTGATCATTTCTCATGGAAGGGTCCAGTAAATAACTATGGTATGAAGTTTGCTGTTGTCAATAAGAAACGTTGACAAAAAAAATTATGTTTATAATAGATAGAAAAGCTTGTAGTAAATATAGTTTTAAAGTATAATTCTCTAAAGATATGCACGGTATAACGAAATCTGGTCGCGCGAATGATCTTTTACTATGTATTGCTGACTCTGAATATGATAGTTTACAAGTAATGTTCTTAAACTCTCCTATACGAATTAACTGAGTAGGCTGTAAGAATTTTATTAAATCAACCTGAGAAATATTTCAGATTTTTCACTGACTTACTTAGTGAAACGAACTAAACGAGCTCGCCAATAGGTCAATTCAGCCGAAGGTCCAACGTCATCCGATTCTCTACGAACTTGATCAGACTGGTTTAATATTTGTTCAATTTGATTAACCCATTTCTCAACTAAGCGAATTAAACGATCCATTGTTTCAGAACTATCAACTATAAATAGTAAACATGGAAGTGTCATCTGTTTAGAAAAAAATAGTTTAAGTTTCTACACAGAATTTGCGCAATTCAATGTTATATTTTTGTTTCTAATATCATCAAAGATTTTAGTAACTATTAATTATAACCCGAAAAGATGTCATCAAAACAGTGATATCCCTGTTGAAGACTCGGAACGTTCACTGTATGTTTACTGATGTACATTTGTAAACTTTAATAAATAACTTATTTTACTTTAAGTCCTAATACCACATTTCTCCAAATTATTTCTCCTACCATCCTATTGTCACCGATAAATATCGATAAGCCAACAATGACATATTTCTTTTTCTTACAAGCCACTTTTAATTATTGATAAATAAGTATTTTGAGAGGCTAAATTATTTGATAACTGTGAAGATTTGAAATTGCAAGTTGTGTGTATCATAGAAATAAAACATCTTAGACAAAATTAAAATCTTCATAGTTTAAGCTACTAACTAATATCAGCTAGAGCACCTTTGTGAACCTGGTAACACTGAACGGTTGTTTCGTTATAGTATAAGATTGCTTAACAGTACCCAATCATAGTTAAAATCAATGTAAGATAAAGCTTACTAATATTTTCAATTTCACTCGTATTGATTATTTGTATAGCCGTTTCTGATTCTTGTCCGGCTGTCAAGTCCAATTTATCACTCATATTCTCTCTAGCACTTGAAAGTGCATCTAAATATCGTCTGAGTACCGCAACAAATTCTTCCATATTTATTGTTTCTGATAGTGATTTTTCAATTGTATCGGATTCCTATATATTAGTTTGAAGAATATTTTATCATGAGCACAGTGGTTATAAAAAAAATTGGATGGTTCAAATGAATATATTCTACATAAAGAATCTGAACGTCTTGGGTTTATCCTCTGGGATGGTCATGGCCCTACATTACCGAATTGTCCATTACTAAAATGAAACAACTGTTGATTACCATCTGGTTTCCATTTTTATATCAAGTGGTGTACCTATTAAAGAAGCTATACTTATCGGTGCTAAAATATTTCTCCCTAGCTGTGAAGAAAGATAAATTTGTGAATATTACAGTGATCCAACTGACAGAGGATGACTAACGTTTCATGTTTCAACTAACAAATAGATCGTAAACCTGACGAATAAATACGTATAGTTAGTGCGACTAAAGTGTTCAAAATATTTTAATAATCCAGCTTTTGTTCAAATTGCAAATTGGAATCAGCGGATTAGTTATTATTATACCTTCCTTTATAAATCCACATAATAATATTTAGGTGATTCATGGAGGTTTTAGAAGTACGAGTTTTAACTTAAGAAGTAATCACAAAAAACGTATAACTTTCTTGAGTTCTAATTCACATGGTATTGATTTACTTGAATCTTCCCATTGATGTTTAGGACTGAAGTTGATCAGTCTCTTATTGGCATACGTGCATACTGTGCGTATTGCTTCGACAATTGCCTTAGTTTACAAGCATTATAAGCAAAGATGGATAGTGGCTAGCAGTGGAATCCAGGACGCCGACTTCTTACTATTTAGGACTCGTCAGCCGCACGCGCCTGTATCTCAGAGTTGATTTTCACTCTGGGACTCGAAATCAGTACCATTCGCTTCAAACGCCATCGCGTTATCCACTGAGCACAGTATGCACACGTTTTTAATCTTATTTATGTGTGTTATCAAATTTCTATGCCATGGTAAATTCAGACAATGATCAAACTACTTTGCAACTAATATACCTTTATTTTATCAACGCATTTCCTTTATGTTAATGGAGTACAGTCCCTGAAATTATCGACATTCCAGATGTATTTAGTACTTTATCTATTTTTGTCTATAAGTCGGAAATATGAGATATTGTCTAGTAGTCAAAGTTTCTAAGTAAATACCATTGAATAACTGTATAATGGTTTGTCATAATAAAATCTTTAATGCAATTTAAACACGTCGAACAAAAATTAAGAACCTTACACCTAATCCTTCGAACACTGGTAATGCGAGTTTTTCCAAGTAATTTTGTACAGATTCAAATAAACGTCCTTCTGTTGCATCTAGTTGTTGAAATGAAACTTCTGTACCAATATTTGCTGTTGTAATAGCCTTGTCAGTAATTCGTAGAAAGATAAAACATGTACCACGTAGTACCTAAATTAAAACGAAAAAAAAGAGCGATCATATATGAAATATGAATAAAGCTGATAATTTTAAGTATAGCTGAATTCATGAATCGATCTAAGATAGATCACCATTGAAAACCTGAAAGAACTGGACGGCCATTTCATCCCAGTATGAGACTCTCCAGTAGTGCTCATCCACGATCTCGCATAAAAGACTTGAATGAATTCAACTATTAAAATTACTAAAATTTCCACAAATCCACATACTGATAATGTTAAATATATACAAACACTTGAACTGTTCCCAATTCTACTTGTAAAACGAAACCACTTAGAATGTCTAGCAAGGTTATCAAAAATCTTTTATTAGAACGAAAATTTACTTGAATATGCTTAAACTATACTACAAGTGTTTAAAATTAAAGTTAGAAATTAACATTTCTTAAGAAAACTGTCCGTAATAAGACAAATATAAAATCAAGTGATTAGCTATATTTCTCAGTCAAGTCAGTTAAGTTACTGGTTTTTCAAACTATGTATTTATTAACCATCAGTCCAGTTAAAAATCATTGATTAACCGAAGCATTTAAAACAATTTGTAGTTTATTATTATGGATGTCAGTGGATGGTTAGTAAATAAATTAATCCTTTTCTGCTGTCCAGTTTTCTTCCATGTCTCGACAAAGCAATCTCGATCCGTCGGAATCAGTGGCAGGTAGAATTTATTCATAATCAATATTTAGCTCAAGTCACAATCTTCACAAATAAATCTGTTCCAAGACACACCAAAAACATTCGGGAAAAGTTATCCAACTTTACAAATTATGTTATTCTGAGAACTTGACTTTTAGATCAACTTAATACATTCTTCACTTATGTAGTTATGGACGGTTTTGAACTTTTAGTTTGACTGGATAAATGTTACTTTTACATTGATAAGAAAATCTACACAAATCTGATCATCATTTAAAAGCTTCCAGTTACTATTTCATCAAACTAACAAAATTGTATAATTTACAGCATGTTTGAAATTAGTTTGATGTTTACTTCAAAAGTCTGTTTCATTCTTCTAACAAATAAACAATGACAGGATTATTTGTAAATGATTACTAATAATTTTAAAAGTTGACATAACTTTGTATAAAACGTTGTTATATTTACTAAACTAGTTGCTGAAAGAATCGTTAGAGTAAGATGTTTCAAGATGTATATTTTAGATAAGTGTATCTCTATTCAGATAAGTTGGAACTTTATGGAAGTATGTAGGTTTTAAGATGAATCAGATTGATCTGTTTTCATATTACGTTAATGAAAAAGTTGCTATAGTACATTAATAAAAGCAATCCAATTCTGTCTTTCGGTTATGATCGATCATCCAAGAGCAATAATCATCGATTAGCTTAAAGATTTAAATCGATGATCGCCAGATCTATTTGTTAGTGAGAACATCCAAGCATGGATAAATGTCTAGATAGCATAATAATGTAGATGTTTTGTCATTTGCAAGTTCTGTAGTGCAGAATAGTTTCCTTTAAGTTTATAAAATCGTCTTCTCATTAGATGACATATTTTGTGGCATACATTGATGACATATAATTGGCTCATTGACATTTAATACATCTAACTGAGTTTGTATAGCCATCAATTTACATATTCGTCTATAACAATGACTTGTATTAGATAAACCACTCATTTTATTACATTAATTTTCATACACACACTATCAGTTGTAATGCCGACTCATTATTGATACTAGTTTTAACTAATTTATCGTCTTGTGGTCCTTTATTTATTGTTATAATCCAGTGGTTCATATCCCCAAATTTACTTAATTTGTAGTTTAATATCACCGATGAGCAACTGTCTTACTTCTGATGTAGTTGAAAGAAGACTAGATTCAAGTTTTTTTTAAATTAATCTATATCCGTTACTCAACCAAACAATAATCAGATTTTTATTTATGATTTACTTCGAAATGGTTACCTGAAGTTGTGATAAGAAATAATTACCGGTGGTGTTCAACTTCGTAAAATAACTTATGAACAATCACTTAACCGAAATATAATTCATGGAAAAACTACAAAAACTTTATAAACGTTTTATGCCTTATCAAAAATTTGAAAATATTTCATTTTATGTTTGCTAAAGAAATATTCACTTTTATACAACACTTACTTCATGAGTCCCAGTAGCAATAAATATTCTTTTTCTTGTTTGTCCAAAAGCCTGCACAATAAATAATATCCATCAGTATAGGGTTGTGGAATTTATTGAGTTTTGATTGAGATCATGAATGGATCAATGTTTAGACCACCAACGGAAATCTGGAAGAACTGGATGACCGTTTTGTCCCAGTATGGGATTCCTCATGAGTGTGCATCAGCGACCCTGCACGTGTGGTCCTAACCCAGGACCTTTGTTCTACCGATCGAACGCTAATATCGATCTATTGATGATCTCGATCAAGATAATAATTAATTTAGTGGAAAGTATGTTTCAGTCAGGTGTCAATAACAGCTCTTAAAACAGAGTGACACTGGTTAGAGAAGAACTGAACACTAAGGGAGAGCTTTAATATTGTTATGAACTTCAATTTAAAAAATTGATTTGAGGTTTTTAATCATTGCTCTTGTTTATGTCAGTTCGTGTCAAAAGCTATCTTCAAGAGTTGTTCAAAAAGAGAGAAACAAACACTTCCATTATGAAAATGTACTTTTTTTACAGAAAAAATTCACTAATTTTGACAACAACAATGCTACTTCAAATGTATCTATGAAAACATCAAGAACTAAATAGATTTTCATAGACATTTTACAGACAAAGAATATTTTTCAAAGGTTATTTCTACTTAATATATTACTAAATAGGAATTAACTTAGTTTTGTACACTTCATTTCATTGCACTAGACTATTAAAAATTGAGTTCAATTAAAACTTGTCGAGCCTGAAAGTGTCGAATGTTAAAATTTCATGAAGATATTCCATTATGTGAACGAATAATAATTTATATTCCTAAAGGATTTATAATGATGACGTAGCTTAGATTTCTTTCAGACTACCACAGTGGCGATACACAACTCATCGCGCACTAAACTACATGAAAATAAGTCAATATGAGATAAAATACTAAATTGACCCTTGAATTCAAGAAACTGCATGATATTTCAGACTGTACTATATGCTAATAAAATGATTTATTTTCCAAATAATTTTCAATAGATTATCCTCGATCAAATATTTTTATAATTAACTAGATGGTATCTCAGTGAGTTGTTTTAGTAATTACTTAGTGACACTCTTTAATAGTAATGTATCCACATCAACATTCTTAAGGTTATTCAATATGTTTTGTTGAATCTAAAATATCACTGTTGGGCCGTCTATGTAAGTAAATCGAAGAAATTCTCTAGTGATTTAATGCAAAATGCACTAGTCTGATGTGATCAGTTTCCTAAAATAACCAATATAAGAGCGAACATACTGCGATCTGTTCCAATTCAGTTCTGAATTAAACGATCGAATTATTCATTGATTAGAAGATCCTAAATTTATAGCTGTATAGAGTTCTGAATACCTACGTGAAAGATGAATTATCTCTATGGTTATTAAAATTAATGAAC